CGGTTCAGTAATTGAACACAGATGCGTTTCAGAAATTCAAACATTTGCTGATATTTAGATTTCAGTATTGGGGTTCCAAGGAAGATGATGCATCAGCCAGTGACTGTATTTTAGCCTTTTCAAAAGCTGCAAACATGTATCTAAAAATACAAAAGGGTGAGGAAATACAGAGCTGGGGAACTAAAAGCAGGAGAGCAGGGTAAGAGACAAGACAGAGTGAAGATATAAAAACCCCTCTTTATTTATCTACTACTAAATTATTTATGCGTTTATTTTATTTCATGTTATTTTGTTTAAAAGTCTTCAAACAAACAAGAAAGATAGGCTTCATTCTTGTATGTTGGTGTTTACTTGATAAAGAACTAGATTCTTTCAGAAAGGAATGTGATGTGCCTATTTTTAGGTGTTTGGACTTGCAGGATATAAAATGACAGTAGTAAGGCCTGTATATCTCATCTCACCAAACAATTTTTAACGGAAAAAAAATATTCCACACCAACAGAAACCAGTGGTAGAATATTCTAGTTTCTAATAGAATGGAGGGAAGCCAAACTATTGACTTATTATTACTCTCTATGGATTTGTTTACAAGTAATAGTTATATGAGGGATCAGCTGGAGCAAAATGCTGCAGTCCTCAAGAATCCAGTCCAGGCATGGTTTTGTCTGGAATTGTACTGTAGTTGATATGGTAAATGCATCATTAAAGCAAAGGGAAAAGTTTTCACAAAGTAAAGATGAAAAGGCCTTCTTCGCTCAGGCAAGGTGTGCTGATTTAGTTCAATAGAAGGTAATCTGAGATGTGGCCTTCCATGGGACTTTAGTGAAGCCAGGAGTTATTATGCTGATAGACTCTAGGCTAATTCAGATTCTCAACTGAAATAACTTGGTGAAAGTTTCCTGTATTCCATGGATCTACTTCAGTTTTCACCGAGCTGAAGATGTAGCCATGCATGCTGTTTTCTTTTGCAGCACAGTGTCTGCTAGTGAATTATATATAACTGGGTTTTTTTTGTTTATTTGTTTTGTTGTTGTTTTATTTTCACAGGGCATTATCAGGAAGGCATGGTAAGTTCATTTGATTATTTTATTTTTCTTGAGGCAGCCAAAGTATACATTAGTTCTGCAAAATATGGTCCCTTTGATCAAACTGCAAGGAAGTAGAGGGGTTTCAAGTTGTCTCAGCAACTTGATATATAAATATTTACACCACAGGCTATTGTGGCAGTTAAAAAAAAGAAAAAAACATTAAAATAAGTCTGTCCATCTTTAAAACACATTTCATTGCTTTTCAGCACGTTAATTTGCAGGTGCTTTGTAGTTTAATGCCCAGAACATATTACAGTAATAATATACGGTCATAACTTCCCAGCATAATATGAAATTATGTCCTATCATAAACCAGCTGATGAACTTGTTGGCATTCTTACATACATGACCTGCTTACACTTTAATGACTTTGAGTCATTTTTCAACAGACCTAAACACTGTGCAGGTTCCAGTGCCTAATATGTCTTACTGTTGGTGCTGAAACTGGCCAAATGCCTTGCCAACACAAAACACTGATCTCAGGAGCTTAGGTGGAGTCCCATCAAGAATTTAGATTTGCTACTTCTATTATTTCAATGCCTGCTTACAGCTGGTTTAAAAGGCTATGTGCATGACCTCTTTTTCCAGTGGTATCCCTGAGCAGTCTTCCTTTGTATAAGGTCTGCCTTCTTCAAATGCCTTTGGATCCTCTCTAGCATTGTTTTTTTCTTTCCCGTTTTCTTCAGGAGGTGACTACAGTAGCATGCCAGTCATGCTACCCTAGGTTGCCTGTCCTGCGCATAATGTTCTAAATTGCATATCAGAATAACCCAAAAACATGTATGCAAAGGATTGTATTGCAGCTGTAATCATAGCTTGCTTGAGCTGGTTAACACAGCACACAACAATGCAGTCAGTGGCCCATGGGGAAAAGCTTCCTCTGTAGCTGTAGTGACTCAAGATGTAAACTCATGTTCTTCTGCACACAATTACTTCATTACTTAGCTCCCTATAGCTGGCTGTTTTAAGTTTTATATATAAATACAGCATTTAAATAAATTATTTGTTAATTTTTGAGAAACGGGGTTATTAGGTAATCCAAATCCTACTTGAAATTTAGGCCTTTTGTAAATAATAGAGCATAAGTTACTAGCAACTTCTAACAAGAGAGCAGCATGCAAAATACATGGTGCTTGGAATACAAAGAGACTATATTGAAACCTTTTGCTGACTCTGTTGTCTTAAATTATTATGTACCGTAATAAGTGTTTATTGTGCATTTGGACAATTGCTGCACAGTGTATTAACATCTCTGAATGTTTTTCAGAAAGGGATGCATTTGATACTTTATTTGACCATGCTCCAGACAAGCTCAATGTAGTGAAAAAGGTTGGAAGGTTTTTATTTTAAAATACATAGTGTGTGCATGTGTATGCTTGTATGTATCTGTACATACGTAGTGAATGTGAATGTATATAATTGGCATAGTTTGCATACATTGAATACCATCAAGCTTTATGTTTAAATAAATATACAAATTCTTTAGTGTAATGTTACTTTTTATTAATTTTTAGCAGCATGAACTTAGCTTTGGAACACAGAACAATGTGTCGTTATCAAAGTTTCCATCAAAAAGAAGTCCTCACAAAGTGTATGTTGAGTAGAACCCAAGTGGTAGATGAAGTCCTGTTGCCAAGAGGTATCCAGTTTACAACTGCCAGGCATCTGACCTAGAGTGTTTTGCCTGCTGTCAGATTTGAATGGAGTCAAATTACCCACTTCCCTATAGTCTGATACAAGGCTTTTTTAACAATTGTTGTGTTTTAACAGTGTGTTTTTATTTCTGTACATCATATTAATTTTACTCCTGTTCTTCATTCTTGGAAAAAAATAAGGTCATTTTTTTTTTCATGTCACATTTCAGTTTTGAAAGTTAAAAATTGTGTTGCAGTCTCTTTACTTGTGCAAATTCTCTTCTGAGTGGAGTTCATACTGCATGTGTTGGAACTGCTGCCCTACTGAGTAGACCTTCACTACATTGTTTTCATCTTTCAGACTCTCATCACCTTTGTGAACAAGCATCTCAATAAATTGAACTTGGAGGTCACTGAACTGGAGACCCAGGTAGGATTTTACAGGTTTCTTAAAGGGGAGGGGCAGTTGCACTGGGTTATTCACTACGCCCCCAAGTTTATCCAGAAATTGCAATACATTATTGATTGGGCTCTTAAGATGTTCTTTCTGTGGGAAACCCTTCAATTCTAAGTATGTTCATGTGAAGAAGATCCTCAGCAATGAAGCAGAGAAATCATGATGGCAGTTAAATTTCTCTAAAACAGGTTGGTACTGCTATTAGCATAAAAATTAATTAACAGATGCTACCTCTTGAGTGTTGCCAAGTGCTATAAGCAGAACCTGTGCCTGTTTTGGTCAGGAAAGAACTGTGCTTGATTTGACCCAACGTCAAGCTTGAATAGCTTGAATAGGCACTGTTCAGTGAGATACTTTCTTGAGAGTAAAGCTACTCAGGTGTATAGACAGCTGTACAGTTGGGCTGAAGACTTGACTGCACCTCAGAAATAACGTGAGTAGATGGTCGTCTTTCTTGTTTTCAGCTGCTAAATTAGCTGGAAAGAAGCTAAAAGAAAAGCTTAATCCTGCTGTATTAATACCTCCCCATGTGAACTATTGCAGCAGTTATCATAAGAAAATTACAGGGTCATGCAGCAAGGATGGTATCCACACTACCAGAAAAACTCAGGTGTCTTCAGGACAGACTATTTTATGTCTTGATTCATGTGATTTAGAGGCTCTGATTTATTTAAATAATTATCAATCTGGTAGATATTTTTCAAAGGTAAAATAGAGACTTATATGGAAATACTGCATAAGGGCTTTCAGGAAGGTGTTGCTTATGCCTGCTTATTGCATTGTTTATTTTGGGGGGAAAAAAGCAACAACAGTTTATTATTCAAAGGTGTTTCAAAACCCCTTAAGCATTTATCCGAAAGAGTATTCCCTAGGTTGGTAGATTGTATTTCTCAGGAAGGTGATGAGTAACTCAGTTTGATTCTGGGGATATATCAATGCACTGATAGACTTGATGCCACAGGGGTAAGAGAGGCCTTTAACAAAATCATATTAATGTAGCTGTTTTGGGTTTTTTTTAGATAAAATAAACAGAGAGCAGTTAGGTATCTTCCATCTGTAATTACATACATTTAAAATTAGATTGACTCAGATGTGCAGAAAGTGGACAAAGATGATTCTTTGTTTCTTTATTTCCTCCAATACACTGAATTTCAGTGCAGTCATGAGTTTGCACCTTCATTCTGCTTTTCTCTGCTCAGGGAATATATGCCATTTGAGAGGCTGAAAGGCAGCTCTTCTGTTTACCCACAGCTAGTGGAAGAGAAAGCAAAGGCATAGATCAAAGCCACTGATGACCTTTCTGTCCAGAAACTTTATGCTGCATGTATATTTTAGCATTAGGTCAGTTTTGGAGAAGATATAGCAGAACATACTAATTAAATAAAATAAATCAAAGGAATTAGATGAGATCTTTTAGTTTAAAATATTTCTGTTAGTAGTTTGTCAACAGTTCTGGAGTAGACAATATATATCTTGTTCATTAATCAAAACAATGAGTTACTCTTCAGAAAATGTACCAAGAAATGTCTTTTTTACAGTTTGCAGATGGTGTGTACTTAGTCCTGCTAATGGGTCTCCTAGAAGGTTATTTTGTTCCTCTGCACAGCTTTTTCTTAACTCCTGATAGTTTTGAACAAAAGGTAATTAGATTTCATTTTTCTGTTAAATAAATGTATTAATATAGTAGTACAAGGATAACACAAATTTTTCCACCTTAGTTTTATGTAAATAGCTGAAATCAACAGAGGACTGTGCTGGTAACCTTTTCTGACCATATTTAAGGTCTTAGTATTAACACTTAGCTGGAAGAAAAGGGAAAATTTTCTTGATGATGAGGAGGTTAGCAAGTATTAACTGATTTTGGCAGCCATTGTGTCACTGAACCAGGCTTACTGTTCAATAAGTTTATAGTTACACACAAAACTTGATTACAGAACTGATTTTTTGCATCCAAAATCCAAGAATTTAATATGTTTTCATGTTAAATGGTTTTATGGGTTTTGGAATCATAAAGGAATATGTCTACTAGGTATAAGTTTGAGACCAACCACTACCCCAATGTCTGTTGCTATCCAGGCAATTCAGCTGTCTGTTCAAGACAAAAACACTTCAAGGGCCATCATGTTCCACATTTTAAACTTGTGGGAGGTGGGTTATTCTTATTGATAAGGTGTTTTTCAATGGGTTATATTAGTTCACATGTAATTTTTCGATTACTTTTTTATTTCTGGACTACCATCACCATCCAGAAAAAATGAGAACAATGGATTGTCTGAATTCCATAGACCAGATCTTCCATTGATATATGGAGCCCTGATTTTTTTTTACTTCTGAGCATCAGTGTCTACAGCTTTAAATACATCTTGTTTTGACCATTTATACTATCCAGTATATAGTTCACAATAATGACTACTTCTATTATTTTACTAGGTCCTCAATGTATCCTTTGCTTTTGAGTTAATGCAAGACGGTGGATTGGAAAAACCAAAGCCAAGACCAGAAGGTATCTAGTATCTTCTTAAAAATTTGCTTTGGATCTAGATCTTGTCACATAGCATTATGATATAGCTAGATGAAGTTTTTAAGATTAATCCAAGAGTGAAAGGCAAAATTTTGAAGTGCTCAGGTATCTTATTTTAAATGGCTGACAGATACACTTCTTCAAATGTAGCAAAGCTTCCTTTCTTGAATGGCCAGGGTAGCATTTGTGTGACCAAACATAATCAGTAATAATCAGATATTCACAGGAAGAAAAAGAATACAATTGTGACTAGTGTCACTGGCAGATGTGAATTGCTCCAATTGCTCCATTTTCCCCCATCCCACATCTTCATACTAAACCTCAAGTATTCCAGTGTAATTTACAAGATTTTCACAAAAGAGGTAGATGTTATTGAAGAAGGATTTCAAATGTTCACATAACTGTCTTTGAGTGCAGGACCTAATCATGCATATTTATATTAGATTTAGAGCTAGAGACTGAAAGTAAAGTGTATTTTCAGGGAAGATGAAGGTTTAGCTGCTGACTTCAGCAG